TTTTAAAAATTTTATTTTCCACTTGTCATTTTATTATATTTTTTATTTTATTAAATTAAAATTCCAAATTTAATTTGTAAGGTAATATATATGTAAATTATTTATTAGAAATAGTTTATATATGTAATGTATTTAATACATTAAAATCTCATTAATTTTAATAATTCAAATTTTTCTCATTTTTCTTATAAATTCAAACTTTTCAAATTGTTAAAATTTTATATTTGTTTTTTTTTAATTAAACCCATGTAATACATAGGTCTCACACCTAGTAAATTATTAATAAATAATTTTTTGCCACTTGTCAATTTGTTATGCATTTGGACACATGTAATTTTATGATAATTTTGATTTAAATAAAAGTCACATGTCATTTTGTAGTTTATTTGTAGATTAATTTAATTTAATAATTTCATTAATGTTTTGTTTTCATTCCATTAGTAATTAATAATCTCAAAATAAAAGCCACGTATATGGTATCTTGACATTTATTTTGCTCATATAACGTATGTCATTAAACTTCATTCCATTGACACCAAATTCACACGAAATTCTAAATCCTTTCCTAATTTATGTAATGTATACAATATGGTATTTCATTTTACCATATACTTACTCGCGCCAGTTTTTTGATTGATAGGAAGCATCGAACTACTGAACTCCAATCGATAAACAGTAATCCTCCATCACAATTAGCAGATTTCTTTCTCTTTAAGTTAAACTCCTGATTTACGTTCATTGTATTTCTGTATTTGGCCTAACTATCATATACCTTTTGCATTAAAAATGAAAAAAAATTCCAGGTAAGTACTATCAAACATCATTGCTATAATATTGATTGTATGTGTGTCCCTCATTCGGTTTTTATGGATGTGTGTATTTGATGTTTAAATCAGTTCGGTTTCTATGGTTGTGTGTGTTGGATCCTCAAGAACTTCTATGGTCGTGTTTGTTATTCTGTGTTTGATTTTGTGTTTTGCATTTTGAATTTGTATTATACAGTTAATTTTTTTTTTAAGTTTGCGTGAGGAATTTTATTTTCTTCGATTCATGTGTATGTGTGTCTGTGAAATTCGTCTTCAATCTAAATGAAAATTTAAACCCTTATGTCTATGGATGTTATTAACCCTTATATGTATGTGGATGTCATTCCCTATTTCTTTCAACCTGTTTAATGAATAAAACAAGTATGTTGTAGGAAAAATATCAAAATTTTGAAGCCCAATGGTTCTTCACTTATGTATGTATGTGTATTTAACATGATTTTCTTTACCTGATATACCCTTACCCCATGCAATCCTCGTGTTGGTTGAGTCATTATAAATTGTTGATGTCAACTGATGCTATTTATCTTTTCTATTGTAGTCATTTGAATATGTGAATATGATAGTAAACAGGGGCACAATTGGTCATTTAAATCTGTGAATATGAATGAACTCCAATATATTTACCATATATTTACTCATGCCAATTTTTGAATGAACTCCAATCGATAAACAATACTCGTCCATCACAGTTTGCCGATTTCCTTCTTTTGAAGTCGAACTGTATATAAATTGTTTCAGAGAAAAAAAAATCACATAATATCTGTCTTCTCACAATTTCAATGTTATATGTACGTATCTATGATTAAGGTTATTGAAATTTACTGTTTAACTCAACTGAAAATATATAAAACTGATGTAACCCATGTTTGAGTTTTTTAGAAGTGGAATTGGATGTTGATTTAATGCGTAAAAACCACAAAACATAGGAAGAATTTGCAGTAAAGAGATTAGTTTGTATGTACTATGTTTGTGCAAAAAAAAAAGTACAGATTATGACCTATTCTAATTATATTCAAGTCAAAAAAAGGTTTAGATTATGACCTATTCTCACTTCACATATAAATGTCGCAAAATTGTTTTTTTTTTTTACTTTTAGCGACAATTTTTACATTTTTCATACCGGTTCTCATGTATTCTTGGGTTTCTCATGAATTGAGATTTTATATTCTTATTTTGTGTATAATCAATTGATTAAAGTTTGAAATTTTAATAAAGACTCACAATGAAAAAGATGTTTGGATAAAATTTCATGAGGCATGAACTCTGCCACTAGCAATCTCTCATTTCCTTCACAGCAAGATCCCAATAAATTGGCTAATCTTTGGCTCCTAAGTGGCTCCACTGCTTTTGCTTCATCCTATAACACGAAATTGTTTAACTTTTTTTTTATCAAATTGAATAAATTATAGAGTAAATTACACGGATGATCCCTATGATTTTGGTTAATTTGTACGTTTGGTCCCTAACTTATTTTTTTAACTTGGAAGGTCCCTACAGTTTGTTTTGTTGCACTTTTGGTCCTTGTCTTACCTAAAAGGAGTAAATGACTATTTTGCCCTTGATTTTTTAAATAAAGCGGGGTATGTAAGGCAAGGAAATGTGAGGTGGAAGTGGGGTTGTGGTGTGTTTATTTAAATAAATTAAAAAATCAAGGGCAAAATAGTTTTTTTAGGGTAAGACAGGGACCAAACGTGCAATAAAAACAAACTGTAGGAACCTTCCGAGTTAAAAAAGTAAGTTAAGGACCAAACATGCAAATTACCAAAAACCATAGGGACCATTCGTGTAATTTACGCCAAATTATATATGTTATTTGGTTAATAAGATTTGAGTTTGTTTTTTCTTGAAAGATATCAGGAAAATTGTAGACATCCGATAACAATCATACTATTAGTAAATCACCAAATCTGAAATTATATCAATACTATGCTAACTACATAAATGCAAAAAATTGATTGTTTTTCCCTTATTTAAATAACTACTTTATAATAGCTCACATTTCTACCATATTATCTTTTTTCTCCTGAATTAATTATAAAAACATTATATCATACAATGAAACATTATAAAATATCTAGAATTTAACATCGTAGTTTATAAAATTTTGATTTTTAACAATTTTTCTGTAACAGAGTACTTTTGCTGTGTGTAACTGATTTATCCTGAATTACTACATCTTTTACATAATAAATGCAAAGTAACAAATAAAAATAAATTCATAAGTATGCTATAAATAAGATTGTACTTTCAAAACTATTTTTTATAAGAAATTATCTTTCTTTTTCTTCAAATGTATGATGTTAAATTACACGTCAAGTTGGAAGTACCAAGTTTTGATATTTGCATATATGTTGTAATAAAATATAGATATCGCAACAAATTTGATTGTTTTACCCCTACTCTAAGAACTACATTACAGTGTTTGTATTAATATGAAAGTGTTACATTAAAAATTGCTTAAAGTTTATAACTTGATATAATTTTTTTAGGAAACCTATGTAGTATGCGGGTCTCACACCTAGATCTTGCAACAAATTTGATTGTTTTACCCCTACTCTAAGAACTACATTATAGTGTTTGTATTAATATGAAAATGTTACGTTAAAAATTGCTAAAAGTTTACAACTTGATATAATTTTTTTAAGAAACTCGTGTAGTATACGGGTCTCACACCTAGTATATATATATATATATATATATATATATATATATATATATATATATATATATATATATATTTGAATCACTGTCCTAATTCCTTTGCATATATGACATGGGTTTACATAAATGAGCGTGAATTAGGATTAGTGATTTCGCGCTTAAGTGAGTCCATTATGAGCCCAACAATTTTAAGTTATATTCGTATTTTTAGTAAGGCTTGGGCTTGGTGACGGATGACTAAAGCGTTTGTTGATAATTTAGAGGAGTTATGTCTAATAATTAATGATTAGAAGTTTAAAACACTTTATTTTTTGTTACATTATTTTATATTATGGGAGTTATTTTATTTTATTTTTTAATATTACTGCCTTACTGGAGTTATTTGATATTAGTAATACTTATTCGTAATTTAGAACACATTTTCTAACGGATGTCTGATTGGAATTATTCTGCAAATTAATGTTGTAAAGTCATTTATTGGGTAATTATTGTGGTTTTAAATGTATGTTACAACTTACATACGAATATTTAGTTCTGTCCATTACATTCATACATTAGATAAAGTGCTAAAGAATAGTTCGCTTTAGAGAATTAAACTTAGGATGAGGTTCAACTTACTTCTTTCATAGGTTAAGCATAAAGCTAAGTTTAGTTCTATAAAAGGGTTTGAGTGGTATTTCACTTAACATCACGACTAACGTTAAGTCAATGAACTGGAAATTCCAATTATAGGTACTCAATCTCCATACAAGTACTTCATGTTTCTTTTTTGCCACATTTCACCCATAACTATTTCATTTTTTTTCTTTTCATTGCAATTACGGTATTACCTGTACTTAAGGTAATCGGATTGTTTTAAGGCTCATTAACATTGATTTAACGAGGTTCCTTCAATTGACTATTTGTCTTATATCTTAGCCATTGACAAAAGATGTTAATAGTCATCTTATGTTAGTAGCAATGTAGCATCAACTATCAACTCTAATAAAGTGAATTCATAATTAATGCATCTAAAATGTAAGTAATCATCGTATCAACAAAACTCCATGTCCAATAAATAAGACTACTTGCCAAAATATTTATTTATAAATTCCCAATATTTGATCATTCTCAACATTGCCTGAAAGTATAATAATGCTAATACCCCAAAAATATCAATTACTTTGGATGAAAGATGCTCAAATCTTACAACTTACTTGTATTTGTTAAGGTTCACTTGTTTTAATTTAATCCAATAATTCAAGAATTTATTAAAGAAAAACATTATATTTATATTTGCAACCTGTTAGGCTGTTGCAGGTTTTTTAAACATTTGATTGGGGTTCACGGCAAGCCTATTTGTAGTTTCTAGGAATAATTAATAAAGAGATTAAAAAACTCCGTCAATGTTCCAAGTAAACCAAGTCAACGCACCCACACTATAAAACCCCCTAATCATGCCAACAATAAACTCCAACCCTTGATCTACATCTCCTTACAAAATCCCCTAAATCCTAGCCCTTCATTTCCACAATGTCATCGTCAACCGAATCCAAAATCGCCATGGCCAAAACAGTCGTTTCCACCATTGGTTCCGTCGCAGCGGCGGCAATGGTGGCTCGCAGCGTTGGCCGCGATTACTTGCCTTCTGAATTCCAGGAATACCTCTATTTTGGCTTTCGAAGCTTCATCAACAAGTTCTCCACACAGTTAACCATGGTTATCTACGAATTCGAGGGGTTTCAAGAAAACGAAATTTACATCGCCACAGAGCTTTACCTCGCCGCCCGGATTTCTCCCCAGATCCACCGTATGAAGATCACCAAACACACCAGCGAGAAAAACATCACCGTTGCCATGGAAACCAACGAAGAGGTTACCGATGTTTACAATGGAGTCAAGTTCAAGTGGTGTTTGCTGTCTAATAAGGCGCCGACGAGAGAATATCATCCTAACGATGGTATGATCGGAACTTCCCGATCCGATGTTCGAATGCTAGAACTCACATTTCATCGGAAACACAAGGATCTTGCTTTGAACGAATACCTTCCGTTTATACTTAATGATTCGAAAACGATGAAACAAGAAGTGAAAAGCGTGAAGCTATTCACCGTCGATCCGATGATGATGCATTCAAACTCTCCGACAATGTGGGCGCCGGTGAATCTAGATCATCCATCGACCTTTGCCACACTGGCAATGGATACAGATGTTAAGGAGAAGGTGATGAAGGATTTAGACAGGTTTATACAGAGGAGAGAGTATTACCGGAAAGTCGGAAAGGCATGGAAGAGAGGCTACCTGCTGTATGGTCCGCCGGGGACGGGAAAATCAAGCTTGATCGCCGCCATGGCGAATTACTTGAATTTTGACATCTACGACTTGGAGTTGACTGATATAAGGTCAAACTCGGAGCTGCGGAAGTTGTTGGTGGGGACTGCTAACCGGTCGATACTGGTGGTGGAGGACATTGATTGCTCGGTGGAGTTCCATGATCGAGAGGGAGCAGAAGCTGCGAGATCTTTTGCTCTACAAAATCAAGGATGGGATTACCGGGAAACACCCAAGGTTGGTAATTTTAAATATTTGCTTATATTTATAAAAATAATATAATGAATAAATTTATAAAAAAATCAGATAAATTACCCATTGACATTTTTACAATTAATAACATTTTATCATGGGTGCTGTCCCGGATAATAAAAACAATCATGCAAATTACTCCAAACCACATGATCATTCATATAGTTTACTAATAACGAAACTAATAATTATGTATTTTTATTAGGTAACATTATCTGGATTTCTCAATTTCATTGATGGATTATGGTCAAGTTGTGGTGACGAAAGGATCATCATATTCACCACAAACCGAAAAGACAAACTTGACCCTGCACTCCTTCGTCCTGGTCGTATGGACGTTCATATCAACATGTCATACTGCACTCCCTGTGGGTTTCGGCTGCTAGCTTCCAACTATCTTGGGATAACGGAACATAATCTTTTTGAAGAAATCGAAGATTTAATTTGCAAGGTAGATGTCACCCCTGCTGAAGTAGCGGAGCAACTTTTGAAGGATGGTGATCCTGACATTGCTCTTGGTGGCCTTATTGATTTTTTCGATGTGAAGTTTAAGGAGAATGAAGAGGTCAAAGCAAAGGCAAATAAAAAAGAATTAGCTAAAGCAAAGGCAAATAAAAAAGAATTAGCTAAAGCAAATGCAAAGATTGAAGATGAAGAAGCTTTAAAGAATAATGAAGAGAATACACAAATTGAAATGAATGAAATTCATTTAATATCAAGTAACGGATTTAGTGGTGAACCTTATCCGTCACTAAGAATGTAAAATTATCAATGGATTATCGAACACCAAGAGAGAACGAAAATCTCACACAGATTTACTACAGGTTAACTACAAATTAGCAATGGGAAGGGTCTTGTTGCAGTTCATTTATATTGTCGCTCAACATCTATCACTTATTGCATCTCTATTATTCTAAAATTTGTATTTTAAAAAAGTTAAGCTGATCTTTCATTTGTGACATGCAAGCGTTTTGTAATTATTTTCCACATTTATATAATACCAACATCAACATTATTTCAAAAGTGGTTATATTAACAAATCAACAACTATTTATTTAATAACATATATTTTAATTATTAACAATTATTAAATAAGAAATTAAAATTTATAGTAGTTTAAATAGTTTAGACAACCCAAGGTATTGTGGTCGGAACGAAATATGTATTTTCTTATTCTAACTAGGAGACCCGTATACTACACGAGTTTATTAAAAATAAAAATTTAATATCAATATTTAAACTTTAAATTTAAAATCAATATTTAATATCAATATCAATTTTAGAGCTCTCATTAATTATGATATTTATTACATTATAAATATATCAATTCTTTTTTATATTTATTTCTCTCAATATTGTAACCGAAATAAATTGTGATATGTGAACAAATCAGAAAATTACATGTGGAAATAAGTAAATTTTAAAAATTTATTAAAATGTCATGTGTCCAAATCAATGAGAACATGATATGTGGCAGAAAATAAGTTTTATTTATTAGTATAGATAAATGACTCTCGTGGCAACATCTTTTAATTTCTAAAAGTTAAATTTTTATTATGCCCTCTTCTATTGATTCAATATATCCACAATAGGAATCAAAATTTGGAACAATTATGTTATCCCAAAAAAATAGCAAACTAATCATCTAAGGATTTGAATTCGGGGGAACTTTAGGCAATAAATATGGAATTATAATCATATTGACAAATTGAAAACGATGGCTAACGTTCATTTTGTTTCGTATTATACCTTATGGATTGTAATTGTATCAAATTGAGTTCGATTTCAACATTATTTTGTATACGAAATTTGAAGATTTTTGGCATAGTAATCGATCTGCTTCGTCAAATTGCACTGTTACATCGTCCATATCTTTGTATGTATTTTTCTACCCCAAGCAACCAACCACTGCACCTCCAAGCCGACCGCATCACAACCATTGGTTATCTCATTCTTCTCTCTCTCTCTCTCTCACTCTCTCTCTCTCTCTCAACCATTGCCACTTGTGTTATTTTCAAAATCATCACCACATCCGGTGACAAGGTAAGAATTGGGTTTTGGTTTTGATTTCTCAATCATATTATTTTTAATTCAAAGGTTCGATTGTGATGTTTTCTCATTTCACATGTATAAATATCATGTATTTTGATATCACAGGTTCTGATTTTCAACATTAATGTCGATCATTTCATTAACTTATCAAAAGCTTACACTAATATTTTGCAACTGAGTAGTTAACTAGTGGTTAAATCATGTACAATGATACGTATTTGGATTTTGATCCTTAGCGATTCTGACGGAGTGAAGATTCTTGAGGTCCAAATCCTGAGATAACAACACAGAGTAAGTTGTCCACCGGGATTACTCACGGGAGAACGTTTCGATGATAAAGTCAGAAAGTGAGATAGCAAGTTACAATCATATGAGTATAGGACACAAGTGTTGGTAACGTACCTTTGCCGACTTATCTGGTTCTATTTATAGTTTGGATTACCTCGGGAATCGACGACATGAAATGTATTGTACAGACGAGGATCTAATACTCATAAATTCTCTCCTTACCGAACGTATAAGAATTGTACTAAGGAGAGGTCATTGGTCATGTCAGTTTATTATTAGGGAATCGTTGGTAAAGTAGAGTACAGTATGACCTGAAGTTTATCAGAGTTATCAGTTATGCATATGTTGCTTGTACCCAACGCTTGCTCCTTCGCTCGTATTTGCTCTCCCGGCCTTTCAACCTTCACCCGATTTTTCTTTCCCGACCTTGCTTCCTTTTTTTTAACTCGGCCCATGGCCTCGGTGTATGTGGTTTGAGTAACCATGTGTCAGTATCCTGGTTCCAATTCGGAGGTACATACCTCGGTAATAAGGTATATACCTCGTTAATTCCTCCTCGTTAGGATTGTTGAGTGACAATTCGAACTAGTTTTTGCACTGTCAAGACTCACTCAAGAAATGGATAAGTCTAATTTAGGTCCTAGGCATTTGATTAGATAAATACATGTTTCTGTTTTCCATCATTCCCATGTAATACCGCAACCATCACTTCGAACCGCCAGCATTTTCCTATAAAGTCAGGATTTAAGGAAACCGCTTATTCTTCATTCATCGATACTTCTTCCTTTTTTTTTCCTTATTCTTAGATTTTCTTCCAAAATAATCTTCAACCCCTAAATTCTCCGTTATGGCTAAAGATGGATTCCCTATACATACCACTTCGTCGATTCTTACTCGGAACTAACCGAATAAACTAGTGAAAAATTTCCGCATAGATCCTTGATTATGTCCCTAACTTCCATCTCCAAATCAAACCATCACCAATCCTCCACTAGGTTGTGTTGGTGTGTACTTGATCTTCTTCAAATCAGGTTTACGCCTTCCCTATTTTCCTTTCTTGGGAATCATCCTTGATTACTACAAGGTTCACATTACCCAAGTAACTTTGAACGGATTTCGGAAGATCATGTGTTTTGTACTGCTATGCAAAGCCCTAGACATTCCTCTTTTACTATCTCTTTTCTACTATATGTATGTGTCTATGGTTACCAGGGATTAGGTCTCTTTTTCCTTGCATTATGGGCGGATCGACATACGCTACGTCCTTCCCACATCCATCAAGAAATGGAAAGAATAGTTTTTCTTCATTGATGCTTCAGCTATCGCCACACGAATACAATTTGGTAATCTGGCGAAACGTGATCCCGACCCTGCTCCTGAACTAACTAACGCAGAGCACGATGTGATTAAGAGACCCATCGCTAGTTACTTTGTATGTTCTGACCCTGATGAGTCAACCTTAAGTTTGGCTGATTTAGATAGCACTTACAGTGCTCCTGCTACAGTTTCAGTCCCCAATTTGAGAGGCGATGACCTTTCCTTGCTAGAACGACTTCAACGGAAGCGTCGGTTTAAAGTCATAAATGTGGGAAGTTCATCCACTCCCAAATCCGAACCATCGTCCGATGTAGATGTCAGGGGACAAGCCTAGATTTTTTCATTCTCGACAGCCCGGTGAAGTCCATTGGTCCTACCCTTTATCGTCTTAAAGTACTCACAAGAAGCCCCCACCGGTTCCTCCAAACTCGTTATCAAAAAGGGCTTCCGGTGCCGCTCCTATTGAGGTTCACCAGCGTAGAGTTCGAGCTTCATATTCTTCAGCTACTAGTGGTATTCCTCCCCTATCTTCTCCTAAGAAAATGTGTACTTCTTGTTCTTCCTCTCATCGAGTCCTAGGGGTTTCCGACACCGCGTTTAACCTTCCACCCAATCACTCATGCTTCGTCCAGTGAGGCTCTTCACGAATTCTTGGTAACTTCAGATCCTTACCTAGTTTCTGTTATATATTCAATTTCATCCTCCCCTGAGGTTCATCCAGCATCTTCCGAATCTGCAATTTATCCAACCCAATTCAATCGGATTCCTCGGTTATTACTACTAAACCAACCAACCCCTAGTGGTTCAAACGCCAAGGTTCATCCTTGCATGGGGTGAGCTTGCAAAGCTTATTTTTCATCAGATGTTGTTCAACACTTTTGCTCCCCATGCTTCTACACTGAATCTGCTCACATTGTTTCTACCGGCACTCTATTCATTACTCCAGTTGTTCCTATATACACCAAGGCTCCATCAGATCTTGTTAATATTATTAATCTAGACTCCCTAATTCCTGACATGGATGCGAAGAATTTTGATTCCACTGCACCTCTCCCTGGTTCATCCTCTTCTAATCTTTCATCTCCTCCAAAAATGGGTAAGTACTTCTTCTATGTCTCATTTCTTCTCTTTTTTTTTTTTTAAAAAAAAGAATTGAAATGATATTGAGGTTCCATGTATTTTGTTCCGATATCCCTCCTGATTTTGGTTTTAGTGGCCTCTTCACTACTACCCTTCTTTCATCCCTTTACCAACACCAAGTTTTCCCAACTTCCTTCCTTGGGGAACATGACCGGTGAATAAGGTATAAGGATCGTACCCATATCATGGAGGGTTTGCATTGGATGAACGAGGTTTTGTTGTGGAGCAAAGTTAGGGTTGTTACCTCTGTTATGTATAAAATTAAGTTTCAGAGGGCTTCCGAGCTTTTAGAAGAGCTTCAGTCAAACTATCAAGCTTTAGAGAGGGGAAAGGCATGGTTTGTCTAGGAGTAAGATGATCTTGTTGCTGAAAATGGTCGTTTACTTCAGGATATGGATCAGTATTCCGAGCATAATGAAGAGATTCTTAAGGGGGAATTGTGAGTTAAATAATGTAATCAACAAACAGAGTGCCCATCGTGATGCATTGGCCACATAATTGGAAGAATTTACCAAACAGAACTCTGACTAAAATCGGTTTGTTCTGAGAAAGAAACCCAAATTGGTCGGCTTAAGGAGAGTCTCGCCGAGTGTCAACTTAAATTGAAAGATTAGACATCTCATTATGAAGAATTACTGACAGAAGCCTCTACTTCTAGGTAAGAAGCCCTTTTTCACCAACACCTGGCCGAGTAGAGATCTTAAGAACTCCGTTGGCTCTTAAGGGATGGGATATCCTCTTTGGTTCGGTATTTTCCGAACTCAAAAGAGTTTAGCATGATGAACATTGCTCTTCAATCTTTTGTTGGATTATGTGTCTAAGCCCATAATTATAGTTGTTATAAACTTGAATTGATGGTAGCACAGTCCTTTTAGGTTACCCTCAAACCTAAAAATTGGACATGATGATTTTTGGAGAAAACGGTTGACTTATTATTAGGTTAATAAATTAAAACAAATAATTTATTAATATATTATGAGAATACTATATTAATTGGATATAGTAATATTTAATTAATAATTGATTGAAAATTAATTGTAATTAATTTCGGGATTAATAGAGTTAATTAAAACTGCAGGGGTTAAAGTGCAAATGTTCAGATGAACAAAAGACTCCTGAACCTTCCTAGTAAAGGCATGGTTGGTTTCTAGGGGATATTCTAGGGTTTCTAAAATATCTCATATGGATAAATAGGAAGCTGGATAATTACCAATTTAAGTTAATGTTATTATATTAGTTTTAGGGTTATCCAGGATTTCCTTGTTGCACTATATAAAGGCCCATATGCCTTATATTTTAGGCACTCATTCTTTAGAAGATCTAGGCTAAAAATTCCCTCCTCCTCCCTCCTCCCTCCTTTCTCCATAATCTCCTTGTTGCTAGCTTGGGTGTGAACCATTAGAGGAACGATGCTTGTGGTGCTTGCTTCTAAAGCTTCAACAACACAATGATCATTGTTATTTTCAATAATAACAATAATGTATGTAATCCTTAAATCTTCTATATGATTTTCGAAAATAAACTAGGGTTCCTAGGGTTCTTAGTTTGATATTCATAGTTATATGTTCAATAGTAAAACATAGATCTTGTTTTAGGATGCATGCACACTTAAGACTTTAAGTTTGTTTTTGTTAAGCCTAAAACCATCAGTGGTATCAGAGACGTAAGTTAGTTTTTCAATTTAATTATTATAATTGTTGAATTGGATCAAAATTAGGGTTTATGGCAATTAAACCCTATGAGGCCAAAAAAAATTTGAAATTAGGGTTTCTTGTCCCCTAAGTTTCGAAATTAGGGCAAGGTTTTGAAACCCTTACCCACCTCCCCAAGATTTCTAAATCAAGGTAAGGATTTGAAATCCTTACCTTCCTTGATTAGCGGAAGGTCTATAAGGGGGTATAAGGAAACTGCCTATAAAATGGTAGTTGAATAGGTTTCCACTCTCAACCACCGCTTCCTTGATTAGCGGAAGGTCGTTAGTCGAACGTGTTTGATAGGACAAATTAATTCTCATTAATAGGTATAAAGCTATTAAAAGTAACTAAGGCTTTTTTATAGTTTCGGTTCTTGTGAATGGTTCTCCCTCTTGGTAATTTCATATGTTTAGAGGTTTAAGGTAGGGGGATCATATTTCTCCTTTTCTTTTCATCTTGGCCATGGATGGGTCGCATGTGGCTTTACTTTGGGCTCAGATGGCTAATATTTATATAGGCATTTCGATAGGAGGTATAGCCATTTATAGCATTCTTTACGCGAATGATGTAGTCTTGATGGCATAGTGGGACCGGACCAATGCTCTCCATATTGTTCGTATTCTTCATTGTTTCTTTTTGGCCTTAGGTTTAAAATTCAATTTACTCAAAAGTAAGTTGCATGGTGTGGGGGTTTCTACAAAACAAGTCTCTTTTATGGCTAATATTATGGGTTGTACTTTGGGCACCCTCCTTTTTACTTATTTAGGAGTTCTAGTTGGTCAAAACATGTCTATATTTGAGTCTTGGGATCTTATTATGGTTCGCTTCCGAAGCATATTGGCGGGTTCGAAGGTAAAATGCCTTTTTTTTGGGGGGGGGGGGGGGGGACTTTGATTAAGTCAGTTTTGGGGTCTATTGGTAGTTATTGGATGTCCATTTACCCGGATCCTTTAACAATCATAAATAACTTGAAGAGATTGAGGGCTTCTTTCTTCTGGGGAGCTAATTTGGATGATCGTCGCATGCTCTTATTAGAATTCGAGATAGGGCTTATACTTCTTTTTGGCATGATATTTGGAAGGGTGAGAACCCTATTGTTGTTTCTTTTCGTATAGTGTTCGCTTTGGATAATCACCGTATAGCTCATGTTAGAGATGATTTTAATTGGTTGGGATATAGATAAGCTTAGAAGTATTCCTAGATGAGGTATTGAACAAGCACAATGGGATTCTTTCTTGGATTTGATGCATAATCCTCAACTTCGTCCTGTTCCAGATAGATTGGGTTAGTCTCTCGATATTTCTGACTCTTTCTCGATTTCTTTAGCTTGTTGCGCTTTGGATAGTGGCTTGGTCCCCTTGGGGGATATGGTTACTAAATGGAATAATTGGGTCTGCATCAAACTGAATACTCTACTTTGAAGAGTTCAGTTTAATAGTATTCCTACTGGAGAAAGATTATCTTCCAGAGGCATTATGGTGTCTTTAATTATATGCCCAGTTTGTTCTTATGCAGTGGAGACTATTGATCGTGTTTTTACTGGTTATTCGAAGTTGATTGATATTTGGGCCATGATAGCTATTTGGTGGGATGTTTGTCTTCCAGCTCAGATTTCAGTACAGTCGCTATTTACTTGGTCAGATGATGTCATTTTGTGGAGGGGTCAACAGAACGTGTTTGATGCGATCATTTTAACAACTTTTTGGTGCATTTGGAATTTTCGAAATACCTCCATTTTTTCAACGGTTCTCCCAAATAAGTCTTTTCTTTTTTATGAAGTCATCCAAAAGACTTTCTTTTGGGTTTCTAATAGATGCAGTAAAGTTAAGTTACAATGGACTGGTGTAACATACACGTTTAATTATCATGTATTGTAAATTATAAAAGTGAATAATATTATGAAATATTATGTGAATTTGAATGTTGAGTTCTAACAGATGGTTTTTACTAGAAATGGAGTGAAACTATGCTTAGAATCATTTAGAAAGTATTGGAAGTCTTATAAGATTCCAATCAAATGTCAAAAAGTGAAATTTAACGAAAATATAAAATTTGAAATAAGTAAAATTTTATTATTGAAAGTTGTAGATAATCTCATTACAAACATTTAGGCGAAAACCTCGTCGAAATCCGAGTTATAACGAAGAAGTTATGACTAATCGAAGATCTACAACAAAACCGGCAAACACTATTCAGCATAAAAAGTGAGTTTTTTATAAACTACTTTTTAGCCTTAGTGATCTAAATGAAAGTCATAGTAAAAAGTCTGACAAAAACGGATGTTAGATGAAGGAGTTATGAATTTTTAACGGATTTTTTCTATCCTGATCTGTTAAAACATAATATTAAAAATAAATTCAAAATTAGCCGAAGAAGTCTGAACGAAAGTTGTAGAGCATAATTTTACCTACGTGTGCATATAAAGAACGTAAAAAACGGAGCTCGTATGCGAAAGTTATGGGTTTTAGAAGTTTTGGGTTCAATTTTCGAGAATTTCACA